AGGATTCTAAATTGTAAACTTTGGGACAGATGATGGGTGTATGAATCAGCAGGAAAGCTAAGCTTTCTAAATAGCTGACTCACGGCATAAATTGGTGTTTTACTTTATAATGTGTAATTATAAACAGAAGTCAAGGGAAACCTGCACGTTTCAAGTTCTTGCATCTAGCTTAGAGGATAATTTCCCAGCAAGAAAATAATCCAAGACTGAGCCACAGTTAACTGATTTAGATAGGTCTATTATGAGTCATTTTCATAGATTACAAAAGCCAAGGTGTGTACCTAAATTGAACTGAACCTTTTTGGTCAATTTTGAGCAATTGCTCATTACAAGTGCTCTACACATCTAATGGCACTTGAGACATATTGCAATGAAGAATAGGCACTTTTTCTTTCTTGGTAGCAGAAAGGTACGGTAATAAAGACAAATCCTACATAATTTTTTTTTTTATTATTACAGCAAAAGATGGTTCTACAAAGTATAAAATTACTGTGATTAAAACATATGCATGACTTTTTTCATGTTTTGTAAATATACTTTAGATTTTGGCTATGATGTGAATAAATGTTTAAGGGATATCAGCGCTATTTTAAGTTGTATGTTAAGGATTTAACCAGTGACCTTAAAGACAACATTCAAGTTTCATTAAATCCCTGAAAATTCTTCCTACCTGTTTTAACTTTTAAAGTTGCGGGATGATCTTGAAGAATTAAGTTCTTGCCGGTGACACTGTCAAGACGAACAACAACAGCAGAGACATTTATTGAGTACTCTGTGGCTGCAGTTAAGTTGGAGATCTTGATGCTCATAAAGTGGGAATCATTGTTGTAGGGATAGAAGAGCATCTCGCAAATGAAGCTGCATATCATTACGCTGTAATAATGAGAAGTCGTCTGCATGAATGCAGAAACATTCCAGCTTAGATTCACATGATCAATGCTGACAGAGTCCACAGCTAGTGACTGAGGGGAAACAGGCCCTGGAAGAAAGGAAACGTTTTAGATCAGCCTTTTATTAAAATTAAAATTTTATTTCCATTATATATTTTATAACCTGTGAAATATTCCATTTTTTACTATTGTGACGATAATGATGTATTCATCCTATCTATTCCTTACAAAGGAAAAATAGCTTCCAGCTAGCACAATTCAAGGGAAAACAGTGGATAAGTCAAAACAAATGCATCACACTACAAAAATCCCTTTGGTATTATATTTTACATAATCTGGATAAAAACTGAATGTGTAACATACTGGTTCATGCAAGAAAAAAGAGGGAGGATTTGAATGGTTATTCAAAATAGCAGTCCTTCTTACCCTGACATACAATCATGTGCTCCTCATCACAGAGACGAGCCAGTAGCTTGTTGTTTTTCTCCAACATGGCCTCCAAACTAGCACACTGGCCCTCATAGTTATAGTTGTACCATCGTCTGTAGCTCAGCTCATCTCCATCGGTCCACTTCCAGCCATTGGCATGCCTGTGCAGACCAAGCCAAAAACTGGCTTTGTTTGTATGGGTGGCATTGAGAAGAGCAAAGTATTCCAGCTCTGTGTTCAAGACTGCAAGGTCCACAAAGTGGCTCTGACAGAACTCACGGCCTTTGACCCAGGTCATGGATTTTTCGATGAACAAGTAACGGGAGGTGATCTGGCCAGGGGCTAAGCCATGGCAGACCTCTACAACAAGATAAAGCAGAGAACAAAATATCCTCTTAGATGTATAATATATTATATATTTAAACCAATATTTTATATGCTAATCCCTAAATAAGCAAGACAGAAAAGTGTTAAGGAAAGAAAAAAACCCAATGAACATCAAAAAGATTACCAATATACAGACTAAATATAACTATTGAATAGAAACATTTCCACAAAAAATCACCAAAATATTTTGGAAAACAACAATACAAAGAATAGGACAAAATATCAGGTTTGCTTTAAACCTTTGCCAAAAATTCTAAAAGTTTACTATCTAATGAGAATAACATCTGAATTGATTTAAGCCTGGTTTATATCCATCTATCTATGTATCTAACATTTACATTAGAGATTTGTTGTAATTTCACATTTAATTACTTTGGATCAGTTTCATTCGACTCTAAAAGAAAGAATGATATTTATAATAATAATAATATAGCCCCCCAAGTGTTGGGATCTGGAGATCTGTCCACCTTTCTCCAGCAGAGGGCTCCCTAGGTCTCCTGGAGCTGAAGCTGACTACCACACCTGCGACTGATTTGCTCATCAGGGAGATCAGCATATAAGCAGCGGCAGGACTACTCTTCAGCGCCAGAGTGTTAAGCCAGTTACGGTTAGCAAGCCTGAGCCAACCAGCATGCCTGATTTTCTGACTCCCTGAAAGCCTGACTTGAACCTAATCAGTTTGTTGTCCTCTCTGCCTCCTAGGAAGAACCCGACTGAAACCTGAAGCTCAGGAAGTGTCTCAACTGAAAACCTGCCTGCCTGCTCTCAGTAACAAACCTGAAGATCAAACTGTCTGGATCTCCCAACCTTCCTCCAAGAAGGACTTGGAGAAGCTCTGAACTCTACAAGCCTGAAGCTAGGTCCTGTCGCTGCCAAGCCCTCTGCTGTCGATCAGTCTCTAGACCCTCCTGGTTCCCTCCCTCTGCCGTTCAGCCTGAATCTCTGAACAGGTACAGATCTGCACATTCTCTCAGCTACAAGATCATTAGCTGCCCGGCTAACCTAACTGTCCCTCTCTGCAGCGAGCCTTGTGTGACCAGTCCAGGATCTGATTCCAGTATCTGTCAAGTAACCTTGTGCTTATCTACCCCAACATGACACCAAGAAACTAAATCAGCCCAATTTTGAACTGATTACATGTACTTACATCAGGCCTTAGGTAGAATCTTTACCACTGTCACCTAATTGGCAATGGTGGCCTAATTCCGCAAACTGGATCAGTTTTGATTTTGAGAAAAAAAAAAAAAAAAACAGGTATGTTTGTATGTTTGGTCCTTATTACACAATAGAATTTAATATTGCCTGTGATTCACAAAAGTCAAACCTTTTAAACAGTACTCAGAATGAAGTTGCCTCAAACTTTCTTTTGTAAAACTCAGGAATCAGATTATCGATATCAGTGATATTGTACTTGTTACAATGCAGTTTCTAATCCCATCCCAACAAAAACAGTAGAAAGCATTACATTTCTGCCTAAAGTGAATAAAGTTTTCTTACCTAACACAGCCAGCAGCTGGAGTATCTTGTTCTCACTGTTGAACATAGAGTGGTATCTGTCCGCTTTCCTAGAAATGTGTTTACTTCCCTTCCTTCCTTCTCCATTAACCAGCTTTGCATGTGTTGTCTAGTAAATAATGAATACCATCAGCTCTGCTCATGCTGTCACCCTCTTGTGTGCCTTAAACTCTCTTCCCTTGGGAATTTATGGAATATGGTCACTCTGCAAGATTACGCAAAGAGTACAGAAGTGGAGGTGTGTCCAAAGATCACATTTCATCTCCATCTGGAAGATTGTGAATTGTTTTGTTCCTTGTAACTTTTCATACTATTGTTTCTTTTTTTGCAAAACTAAGATCTAGATTTAGAATAAAATAAAACGTTACGTCCCGTTTGAAAATCTGAAAGCGACAGACTCTCATCACCAGGTTGTTGGAAGGGAAAGTTGTTCAATTCTATCATCGACAATGGTTCACAAAGTAAGAGCTTTTAAGGGAGCTGCTAAAAATACTTCCAGGTAGCTCCACCCGCCAGTCTATTTTGGGATCCAGCAGTGAGAACAAAGGTAAGGTGAGTGTTCTCTGTCAATATTAAATTCTAACACTGTAACACAGTAACACTGCCAATAGAAAAGCTTTAACATTTCATGCAAGATCTATCTATCTGTCTATCTGTCTGTCTGTCTGTCTGTCTGTCTGTCTGAGATGCATACCTTCACATACTTTTCATTTCAGTTTGAGCTTCCAGTTTAACTAATCAGGGTAAACACTAGTCTGCTATCATCATTGCAGGTTTCTTTGTTAACAATGTCTTAAAGACAATATTTACATCACCTTGGCAACACTTATACACATAGAAGAAGCTTTGTTTTTGTTCCTTTAAAGTGTCTTTTTGCAAATTGTACAGTTTTCTTGGCTTGTCCTTCCCACTTGCAATTATTTTCACAATTTTTTGCATTTCAATGTGTGAGGGGTTGTGCCATAGCTTTGGTTTGCTATTAAATTCTGTCAATGAGAGCCAAAGTCAGTTATTAACAAAGTTAGTCATTTTAAAAAGGCCAAGTCAGAAAACAGTCAAGTCTCTGTCAAATATTGTTTTTAATCATACCTGCATACACAGAATAAACACAACTTTAATCCCCAGTTTATTCGCAGCATATTTCAAGCAACCAGGAAAAAAAAAAGAAGAAGAAAAAACAGCTGCGTGCATGCCAGTTTGCAGCTCTTAGATGTCAGGTCTGTTTTAGCTGTGGGAGCTGTCAATAAAATTAAAACTGTTAAAACTGTAGATTCTGTGATTTGGAGTTTTTTACTGCTCTCTTTTGTTCTCTGATGCTGTGTAGTTGTTTGAGTTTCTCTCAACAACATAGAAATAACAAAATAACCCCAAAGGCAGAGAGCAATTAGAAACTGAGTTACTGAAATTACTAAACTTATCACCACTATTCAAATGTATTGAATATAACAGGATATAAGTTGATAGAGTACAGCAGCAGGAAGACAGACAAACCCCATGGTTACATTTGGTAATAACAGGTCCCCAGATATTTTTGAATTATCCAAAAAACTTTGGGGTTTATGAGATTTTATCTATGTAGGTGAACAAAAAAAATAATAATTTGTCATTTTATGTAGCAGCAGGTTAAACATGCTTAGAACAAATTACTCTATATAAATATTAATTAACAGTAAAAAAATAAGGGATGCTTTTTCTTTCTTGTGACATTGTTTTTGGGTCGAAATATGTAAGTCGAAAATTGGAAAGATGAGCTGTCAATGTGCAACATTTCCAATACAAATGTGGAGGTCAAGAGAGAAAAACACAATTGCCAACAAAATGATTTACTGACATGTTTTCATTTCCCATTGCATCTATGAATCCGATCTACACTATGTTTTCCTCTCCCTCCTCATTTTGTTCTAACACCCTCAAAATAAACAGCCAATCAAACTCTTGTAAACTTTTATTTTTTCCAATTTACCCTATACTTTCCTCCCAGCTGATTTTCTTTGACAATAAAAGATTCTGCCTTAAAAATATCTACTATCCCACCATCTGATCCATTTTCTCCCCTTCTAATTTCCAGAGGCAATCGATTAAAAAAATATATCTGGTGGTCTATATCAGCTTTCTCAGTCTTGAAACCACCTCGCCGTTTTTCTCATCTTTAACTATAGATCCACTGGCGACCTGTCCTGGGTGTACCCTGCCTCTCACCCGTAGACAGCTGGAGATAGGCACCAGCACCCCTTGCAACCCCACTCAGGATAAAGCTTGTCAGATAAGGGATGGAAGGATGGAACTATAGATCCCAGAGACAGAACCTCTGGTCTGCTCCAGCTGAGAAGATGTTAGTGTTGTCAGGGTTTATTGCCAAGTGCAGAGCTCGTTGTGAATGACCTTGAAAGAAAAAAAAGAATGATAATTTCATTATTAACACTTTGAAGTTACTTATTAAATAAATGTATTTAAATGTTTACATTATTAGCAGCATATGATCATATTGCAAGTAGAACACGGCAATGTCAGAACCCAAGAGCTTTTGGATATTAAAAGGCCTTCTTTACAAACTAAGACACAGTCACTCCAAAAATCTAGCATCTTGTTAAACAACCCTAAGCACTTGCCTGACATGTACTTCTTTTGCATGTTTTGGGGAAGGATGTAGTATTTAATATACAACAATACTGGACACTTTGGTCTTCAACGCTACACACACCCCTGTTAAAATCTAAGGTTTATGTAAAACCTGAGTAAATGGAAGCCTACATAAACTGTTCAGAATAGATTTAGATTTCTGAATATATTTCCAAATACATTCAATATACAAAATAACATTTAAATAGAAAACAAATGTTATCTTCTTTTACCTGAGCTATCTCTATAGTTATGCTGCTATAGACTTAGACTACTGGAGGACATAGGGGCCACTTGTCATTATTCCGCTTAATTCTATCTCTATTCTCCCATTCTGCAGAAGTTTGTTAGCTCATTATCTAACGTTATGCCCTCTCTGTTTTTTCTCATATTAGCTTCATCTGGTCTGTTCCTGTTTGGCTGAAACGCCATCCTGGAGAGTGGTATCGGCTGTGCTGCTGCCATCCATGCCTCTGTTTGTGGATGTTGGAGTTTTTTCTCTCCACTGTCGCTACAAGCATGCTTTGCGGTAGTGATTGCCTTCTAGTCAATAAGTCGATGCAATCAGCTGGTTTTCCTTAGATAGACATTTTTGTACCAATCTGACTGTATGATCTGGTTGAACTGTAAAGTGCCTTGAGATGACATGTGTTATGAATTGGTGCTACATAAATAAACTGAATTGAATTGAACCTTTTGAATGCAGCAGTCCAACTTGTTAGTATTGCATATTATGCACAAGACCTATGTGTATCTGATCCAACTGTTCTAAATGTGGTTCAATGACAACTTGCACTGAAGCAGTCAACTTCATCCTGCTGTTTAAATTTTGACACCCTGAGATCAAGGTGGCATTCAGTGATCAATTAAGAAGTCCTTGCCATGGTTAGGCTTCAAAAATGATTCTCAGAGACCAGTTTCCTCTAAGCATACTTCCTTTAACTTACTGCTTCTCAACTGTGTGACCCCTGACTATCTGACAAAAGCTGAATAAAATTTTTTGAAAGCAGATCTTTCAACTGTTAAGTTTTATTTATTGTTTCATTTTCACAAAAGACCCCCAGAAATGGTGAGTCATCAAGCACGGCCTCAAAAACCAACTCTCTTGGTGGGAAATGACAGATGTGCTATAGTAATATTTCTCAGAAACACAAGGATGCAGTTTAATTTGTTCCCATCGGGGGGGTGTAAATGTGTCAAACAGTTTGTAACTGCATCAGAAGTCAAACAGTTCAGTTATGTAATTAATCTTCTGACCTGTCAGTTGGTGCATTGGGCTTAGGGAGGGAAATTCCCAACTCCAAGAGGTGATAAGGTTATGAGGAAGTCCATGACCTGTGATTAAATATCTTCTTTTTTCAGCCCATCTGAGACAACAGATCTACAGATTGAGTTATAGAATAAACCATGAAACTTTATTCACATTTAAATATGATAATCATAATACATCATGATGCATCACTACCTGTGAATTGGTGTTTATGGACTTCAAACAAGACCCTGATTGTGTGTCCCAGATTCTGAGCTGTCCATCCTTCCACCCTCCTCCTGTAGCTATTACTTTTCTCTGCCATGGACACCATCCTAATGCCTAGAATAACGGAAATTGGAAAAACACTATGAATACCACAAAGATAAAAACAATGCACAATCCCTTGTTTTGTGTCATTAGCCTACAATTTACATGTAAGCATATCTATAATGGAACCATTGTTACTGGGGAACTTTTGGAACCAGTTTCAATGTAGCAACAAAAACAAAGAGAGCATGCCAAATGTTCATTACAATAGTTTCACTGCACAGCAAATATCCCCCTGTAGCAGCACTAATTATTGGACTATAATATTAAAGTCATTTAAAAACAGGTTACCTCCCCTGTACAAATCAAATGTATATGTAATCTACCATGCGGATTATTTGCAAGTCTCTTCAGAAGGACCGGAGGGACCATAGGTTGAGTCAAAGCAAACAAAACATGGAAACAAGGAAAAACCCCAACCTTACTACGGTATGTTGTTTGGTCCTTGAAACAAAATGACAAAGGCTCTTTCTTTTTGGTCATTTGATGCTAACCTCAGGAAAAAATAAGGAACAATATAGGATTGGATATCTTCTCCCAATGATTTAATAAAAACATTTTTTTTTAAGTGTAACATTGCAAGAGTTCTTGAATCTTTTCTCATACCTCATCCAAAATAGGTTATCCTGAGCTGTTTTCTGTATGTATGCTGCTAAAAGATAGGGCTGCTGGAGGCCAGAGGGACCACTTTTCATAATATTCTTCATTCTCTCATGCTCTTCATGCTCTCCCATTCCGCAGTATTTGTTAGTTCCACCCACAACCTAATACTTTTTTTGATTTCTCTCATCATTGTTGCCTCATCTGGTCTGTTCCTGTTTGACTGTGACACCATACTGGAGAGAAATATCAGCTGTGCTGCTGCCATCAAAACCACTTTTTATAGACATTCGAGATGGCCTTTTTTTCAGTGTAGTCCTATTTCGACTCTTTTTTCATCCTCTGACATGAGAACTGGCTCAGAGATCATCTGCCTGGGTGTGTCTGTCAAGCTGTGGAGCTAGTTAACAATTACCCTTTTGTATCTCTGCTTCTTTCTGTATTTCTGCTTCTATGTCCTTAAACCCCAGTCGCCCTCTGCAGATGGCAGCTCACACTGAGCCTTGTTGTGGTGTAAGTTTCTTCCTGTTAAATTAGAGTTTTCCTCTCCCCTGTTGATACATGTATGCTCAATGTGAGGTATTGGTGAAGAGGCAACCACAAAATGCAGTCAAAATAGTCGCCTCAAGCTCATCCTGGATGAGAATGTTTTGCAATTCGATGACTTGATGCAATCAATTGGTTTTCTTTGATAGAAACTTTTCTGACTATATTGTCTCTCTTAAGTGTCTTCAGATGACATGTGTTGTGAATTGGTGCTATATATATAAATTAAATCTCATTATGCTGAATTGAAAGTCACCTTGATTTTGTGTCAAAGAATATTTAACAACAGTTTAGATATATTTACCTAAACATGGCATGGTGCATGGATTCTGAAATGTTTTTTTTCTTTATATATGCCCACTGATGGTTTCTCCCCGCTGCTGCAAATCAACTTAATATGACACTTGTGATTAAAAACAAGCAGGCAGGGTCCAAAAGCCCCTCCAGGTCATCAGTACCAGCACTTTTTGCATTGCTTTGGTGTGGATAGTTTTAGATGGCGTCTTCATCTATTCTCATTAAAATATGAATGCCCTTATGAATGAGGGATATAGTCATCTGTGGGATTTATTAGTTGTGTCAGTAATATCTGCACTCTTATGACTAATACTATCCACTAAATTCTGTCTTCGCAAAGACACAACTGAATAAGTGTTTATATGTGAATGTGACAATGCAACAAACAACTTAAATGTGTCATCTCCTTGTGACTGATGGAAGCTTTTTGTGTGCAGCCAGGCAAATAAAGCTCATATCAAGCAATTTTGGAAATATGCGTTTCAGACTGTTATAGATTTAAATTCTAGAGCAAACATTACCCTATTCCCTTGTTCTTAAACAAAAAAAACAAAACAAAAAACAACACTAAAACAAAGATGAATGGACTTGTGTATGGATGGGCTATTTTAACAACATGATCCAGTCAGAAAAGGTTGGTAAAATCATCAATACTTTTTAGCTTTGTCCCCCACAAAGCTCTCAGTCTGACCATCTCTCTCTATTTTGTTCAAAATAAACAAAATCAAAGCATTTGAGCAAATTAAAAATACTTTTTATAATTTCATGCAAGCTGATGTCACCTTTACAGAGCTCGGCTGTTTCATTGATATAACTGGCTTGCAAGGTGTTTTGATCCCTGCTACATCCCCCTCCCAAATATGAAGAAGCCCCTCTTTGGAGCCACTGGCAAGTAATTCATTTCCTGGCGACCACTCCAGGCTACATATTCCCTCCTCCTGGAAGGCTGCACCTAAAACAGGAGATGGGGCCCGGGGGTCTAGGTGATGTATGTGTCCAAGAGTGGAGCCACTGTAAGACAGGAAAAATAGAACTTAACAAACACATTGCATTATAGCTTGTTAAATGCTTTTAATTCAAATAAATTCCTCCCAATCCATCAAACCAATCAGTATAATGAAGAAAGAACTCTAAATGACGGATGACTGTCCAGTACCTGCTTAGTAATCGCTGTTTCCAAGAAACGGCTCCCACCACAGACAGGTGTGACTTAAAACACCACATGCTCTGCTTGTGGTCAACATCCCACAACTAGATGTCAGTTAGAAACAGTGGGACAACAAAAATCATCACTGTGGTACAAATAAGTCTCAAACTTCCCCCACCCTGGTTTCATAGCTTTTCGGTTACTTGTATCTCCCCTCGTCTGTTCCCTGTGCAGAGAGTTCTGCCATCACCGCTCCAGCTCAGACAGGAGATGGTGTGAGTCCTGCAGCGAGGTGACCCGGGTTCTAGACTCGGCTGGAAGTGTCCCACCAGGGCACGAGTTTCTGAGTTCCAGAGATAAACAGTAGAACCAAGCGCTAATGCAATCATTCCATCACAACTGCAGTCAAGAAGATTGGTGTCTGAAAGGATAAAGATGGGAGATGGAATGAAAGGGTCTACTTTACATCAGCACATCTAGAATTATTAGCAGATAGTACTGACTTAGTATGGTGTTATGGAAAACCAAGAGTGTGTCATTATTTTCAGATACAGATTAATTAGAATAACGGAAGAACATAAAAGTAAAAAATTGCATACATTTAAAATTACAAAGCTCACTTCTAAAAAAAACTACTTTCAAGCACAATAACATGTCTGCATTTCAATTACATAGATTTATTTTGAACAAAATAATTTCATTTTTCTCTAATTTACAACTTTAGTAACAATAAGAACCATAAAGTTAGCTAACACTTTTTTTCAGTTTACTGAGTACTGCAGTTTACTTGGACTCTAAGAGAGAGAGAGAAAAAATATTCTTCAGCTTCTACGTTTTGTTGGTGGCCTTTGCTGCAGTAGATATTTTTCACTTATGACAAGACTTTAATTATCATAATAACAAACAATAGAACCCAATATTAATATATATATATTTTAAAGATTTTTTTTTAAAATTCACTCTTAATAAGGAGATTTTTTTCAACAAGTTCAATGTGATAAAATTAGGCTAAATTAAAATAGGATAACTAGTTTTCAAGTTTTGAGGTGGTGTTTTGAGGAAAAACATAATGCAAACCCACTCAGACTTTACTGACTGCAACACATGCAGTAAATAATGTATTTCTAATCATATTATGTAATAAAATGCTAAGGACTTATTTTTCACATTACATTTTAACAAAGCAATTTCCTATATTATAATATCTTTACATCATCCTATTGATGTGCAAATAATCAGTTAATAATTGCAACACTGAGCACATGTTAAATATTAGATTTTTATGTGCACTGCATTCTGTTTCATGCAGACAAGCATCTTTGGTTGTAGCGACATTTATCTGTCCTTGTGAACAATTTTTCTTCCTGTGCATTGAAAAAAATGACCTATTTTAATTTATGGTCACATACAACTTTGTGCAGACTTACTATGTGTGACTGAGGTGCAGTTCAACTTGACCACTGCTTCTGAAGAAGAACAAACATCTACCTTTGTGCAAAGTGAACTTCCTATCTACAAACCATGCTTCTGACCTCATGTACTTAAAAGGAAGATATGACTCAAAACACTCTGAGAAACCATTGTTTGCACCTCACCTTATAAAGAATAACTGTGTTACGCTTTAATAAGCGATCAAAAAAGATTCTAATTCAAATTTTCTGACCTCCCTGTTCATAACATTTCTTCTTACAGTAGTCATTCAGCAGGGATGGTGCCCATAAAGTCCTCTGTGCCATTCCTTGTACATTCATATTGGCAAAGGGCTTCAAATCTGGTTTTCTCTCATTAGAATCTGCAACAACAAAAAATTGGAAACATATTAATCTAAGATTCCTTGATTTAGTGAATGATATTAATGCTAATGTCCAATTTCCCCTTCCAAGATTAATTTACCCTTGACCCGTTTTTATTAAGAACCATACATATATAATAACAATTCTTTTTTCGAAAAGAAGAATCTGTCAGCCTAATCAAGCGTTTCGTGGAGGTTTTCTGATACCATCTCAGCCAGTGTCAGTCTACAAATGATTGAAATGTCATAGTTACTCATTTCTAACTTACCAGCTTGTTGGGAACTGTCATGTGGCTGAACTGCTGCTCTCCAAATCCACTGCACTTTCTGCAAATGTTATTTTTTTATAATTAGTTTTTAAGAAGTTTGTTTGAATGTTTTTCACTGTGTAGGTATAATATCTTAGATATATAAGATGATGCTGCAAAGCATATGTTGCATCGGTCAGTTGTGGTTAAGAGATAGCTGAGCAAACAGGCAAAGGTCTTGATTTACGGGTCAGTCTATGTTTCTACCCTCATCTATGGCCATGAAATCTGGATCATGACAGAAAGAACAAGCTTTCTGGATTAGCTTTCTCTGCAGGGATGCTGCGCAGCCCTTTAAAGATAGAGTAAGTAGCTCTCTCATTTAGGAGAGGCTCAGAGTAGAGCCACTTCTCCTCCTCATCGAGAGGAGTCAGGTGAGGTGGCTCGGACATCTTTTTCAGATGGCCCTGGATTCCTCCCTCACGAGGTGTTCCAGGCATGTCCCACCAGACGGAGGCCCAAGGGACAACCCAGGACACAATGGAGGAACTATGTCTCTCAACTAGCCTGTGGACATTCCAGGCTTCCACCAGCAGAGCAGTAGGAGTTGAATGGTGTGAGGAAAGTCTAGGAGTCTTTGCTGAGACTGCTCTCCCTGCAAAACTGTCCTGGATGAAGCAGAGGATGACAAGTGCGAGTACAAGTACAATTGTTATGTGCTCCAATATTTTCATGCCTTTGCCAATCCAGTTTGTAAAACCTCTCCGTTGTGCATAATCTTTTCGTCTTGGCAAAGGAAACTTTGCAGACATTATCACACATTTGCAACTACTAAATTGAAGGTTTAGATGAATGCATGCATAAGTTAAAACATGAAATTATAGTGTTGTCTAGATTGTTGAATAGACACACACAAACATTGACAGCCTCTGGCGTCATAAAGTGTGTCATAAATGATGGTGGTATAGTAAATGTGGTATCTTTATAACAAACCTTATATGTTTCTGTGTCGGACGATCTTCTGACTGTAATAGAATGTTGTTGAGGTGAAGACACAGACGTCTGTAAATCTGAAAACCAAAATGCACACGAATGAAACTAAAATCAAGCAGTATGTTGAGGCCAGGTTTTTTAAAAGCTGAATAGCAAGTGTGTGGCTCTGCAAAACAGAGGGTGAACTGGTGTGAGGTATTCATTTAAGTAGTACCGACATGTGCGACCAAAAGCCAGCCTCAGAAGAATGCTGCAAGATGCACAATGCAACACTTTTTTTCTGATGCAACCACTATCTTATCTATTTATGCAACCATCACTGCAATCGCTTTATATATATATATATATATATATATATATATATATATATATATATATATATATATATATATATATATATAAACAATACACATGTATTCATCTGATTATTATCTTTCAGGACAGCAGTTCGAAGAATAATTATAGTATCTAACTACGGAGGTTATGGTTCACATTTTTATATGAAGAAAGTATTACAGAGTGTGAAACCTTGCATGTGTGTCTGTGGGACATCTTGTGCCTGCTTGGGGTCTCTGGGTGAAGATTCTAGCTCCAGCCTCTGACAGACTGTGTCAAACTCAATGCGAGGGTTACAGCGCCGCCCAGAGGGCAGTGGTGTACTCGCAGCTGGACCTCCTCTACTGCTTCCCTGAATGATGCACGTCTTAAAACGTTTATATGCAAGTTCATCGGCCTCGTTTTGTCCCTGCAAAGAAGAGTGGAAACAATAGAAACATTTATTTGCAAAATGTACTTATGTCATGTGTTTTATACTGAGACAAACATAATGGCCCCAAAAGCAGCTCAGGTGGGTCTACTGGTATCAGCTTTCAGGGGAATTTCCATTTAGGAACCTCACAATAAGATGTTTATGACACATTGGTTGAAAAAATAATATCCAAGTAGTCTATTAAAAAGAATAAATTACTTAGAAATGTGTTATGTGGCATGCTTATAACCTGGAATTGTGAAAACGATCAAGGCATCTCTGTTACAACTATTTCATTAACGATTTATGACTGTGTCATAACTGTACAGTTTGTATATCCAGGTTAGAATACTATTGTGATTTTTTTCCATTTCAAACAAAAGATTTTGACTAAAATTTTAAATACGAAGCTAAACTATATATATATTTTTTTTATTTATACTGAAAAAAATACATCAATGGAAAATATGTTATTAATGTTTTACAGCATTCATCTTTATTGATGTTGGTATAGTTGAAAAATCACTAGTATTGGTTTCTAACTCTAGCAACCTTTCAAACGGATGTTGCTTCTGAAGTTTCCTGTTTTACTTTGTTTTTAACCCTGATTTAACTCCACATTACTTTACTACAGAAGAGGATTAGGGCCACTGGAAAAAAAAAAGTTAACTGATTTTAAAATGTTATTTCAGTATAATATGAGGAAAAATACAAAATTTTGACTTTCATCTCAGAATTCTGACTTTTTTTCTCAGAATTTTGACTTTAGTCTCAGTCTGACTTCAGTCTCAGAATTCTGACCCTTTTCTAACAATTCTGACTTTAAGCTCAGAATTCTGACTTTTTTCTCACAATTTTTACTTTTTTCTCAAATTCTGACTTCAAACTCGGAAATCTGAATTTAATCTCAGAATTCTGACTCTAATCTGAGAATTTTGGATCTTAATCTAGATGGGCTCCATGAAGGAAGAGATGTGGGAGCCCTCAGCTTCACTGACAAATATGTGAGTTGTTTGGGAGGACCAGTAACACATTGGTGGAAAATGATGGAATTAGGCAACTTTTTACATGTCCAATGGTTCCTCGGTGGTGCTATTTAATTAATGTAGGAGCAGAAAGTGATTAAAACAAGAGAGCTAGTTTGGTCTTTAAAACTGACATGGCTACGGTTTGATGCTAACATGTTTGTTAGCTGTCAGAATTCAGAGAAAAAGTCAGAATTCTGAGAAAAAAAAGGCTGAATTCTGAGATTAAAGTCAGAATTGTGAGATTAAAGTCAGAATTGTAAGATTAAAGTCAGAATTGTGAGAAAAAAGTCAGATTGTGAGAAAAGAGTCAGAATTCTAAGATTAACGTCTGAATTGTGAGGAAAAAGTCAGAATTTTGAGAAAAAAAGGCTGAATTCTGAGATTAAAGTCAGAATTGTGAGAAAAAGTCAAAATTGTGAGAGAGAAAAGTCAGAATTCTGATATTACAGTCAGAATTCTGACTTTTTCCTCATATTATACTGAAATAACATTTTTGAAAATCAGTTAACTTTTCTTTTTTTTTTCAGTGGCCCTAATCCTCTTCCGTACTTTCCTCCTCCTTTCCTCCGCCCAGACTTTTTGTAGGATTTCTGACTCCCCCCTCCAAGATGGAGGCCCTCGGAGGTTATCCCACTAAGTCCTCCAAAGCCAGGATAAAAAGGTTGAGGGTCCTGGTGAGCATGACAGTAGGTGTTGGCTGTTTGTTTCTCCTCCAGACGCACTTTGTGAAGCCAAGGAAACAGAAGGACTTTTATTCGTTTGAGGTGAAAGACGCAAAGGGGAGGACGGTGTCTCTGGAGAAGTACCGAGGGAAAGTAGGTCCACATCATCACCTGGCGTCTCAGATTTGGCGATAAATCTCTGCAAACCCGAGTGGTTAAAAAACAGCTCATGTCTTCATTTCAGTGTATCCTAACATCGCATGTTGTGTAGGGTTTTGTCCTAATTACTCGGTGGGTTTGCTCCTGTTCAGGCATCTCTGGTTGTAAACGTGGCGAGTCGCTGCCAGCACACAGAGGCGAGCTACAGGTCTCTGCAGGAGCTGCACAGAGAGCTGGGAACATCTCACTTCAACGTGCTGGCCTTCCCCTGCGCTCAGTTTGGAGACACGGAGCCCGGATCGAGCAGAGACATCGAGGCCTTCGCAAAGTCCACATACGGAGTCACCTTCCCCTTCTTCAGCAAGATCAGAATCCTGGGCTCAGAGGCAGAGCCTGCCTTCAGGTTCCTCACAGGTTGGCAGGAAAACACACTGTGCAAAGGAAAGCTCAGCTGCACATTCATGAGTCTGCTCAAAGATTTAAATGCAACACTTCAAAAGATTGTGTTGAATTGTTTGACTGTGCAAAAATCGTAGGGAAGTCATATTTAAATTACAAAACATTCTGGCTTAAACATGTATATAAATGTACTCTTTATTAGACCATATTGTCCCAAAAGTTTGAAAATTTCTATTTAAAAAAAAAAAAATCCTGTCTTAAAATCTGTTGTTTTTTTTCATGATTTTATGCAGGCCAGTTAGTTATACGTCAGCTTGTACACCTAAATTTGGCCAATCATATATCAACGTTTATCTGTCAATAAATTGTTTTCGGTCATAGCATCTTGATTCATATGTCGCAGCTAATCTACAAAGCGGTTGAAATAAGAATAATTTCCTTTACCATTGAGTTACGTCCCAGTGTTCACTGGGATGGACGTCTGTGTCTTCTGCAGGCGTAGAGCTAACAGAACTGGCAGCGTTGCGAGGCAAGGGCTCAAACATGTACGGCTTTAAGCCTTCTACACCAAACATAGCTTATGCAGCCCTGGTGTCCTCTTCCACAACACCTTTGTCCTTGCTTTCCTCCTCTTTCCTCCTAAAAAATATATGATGAAGGAGACTCATCCACGACCTCCGACATAAAACTCTCCTCCTCACATGTTTCCGCTGTCCATAGCGTTCCTTGTCAATGTCGTTGCTAAGTGCTACTTGGTCACAATGTAATTTCCCATTAGGAACCTACTAGCACTAAGTCGCTAACTGGTTAGCAAGATTCTTCAAATACACCGGCCACAATCAAACTTGCTTGCAAACCACCCCCTTGATTAACGACCAATCACATTCACTTAATTCACTCGTTAAAGTCGGGCATCACTCAGGAGAATTTAGAATTGCAACCGTTGGAACACCTGATTCCCCACGACTTTAAATATAAAAGTATGTATAAGACCAGCAATACTGGCCCTGTATTTACTTGATCAATAACAAATTTCATGTATGGCTTACCTCTACCCCAGATAATATAAATGTTAACCTGGTGATTGCACCTTTTTCCAGCCATCAACAAAAACAAATATGGCTGAATGGTTTAGCCCTCCTTTTCACTGAATCAGAGTCCATTTTTACCCATTTGTAATTTCAAAAGGTATTAAATATGAAAGGACTTTCAAAGGAAATTCAGAAAAGCAAGTGTTAAATTTATTTATATTTCAGTGTGAGGTTAAGTTACACTAACAAAGATACGTATCTTAACAATTTATATAATTGTATCACATCACAAATTCCAATTTAATTTGTTTATCAAAATTTAACACAAATAATGATTAAACCTAACATGATGCATATTCATTAATTTAATACAGACTATTTAAAACACATGAGTTTCAAGTTTATGTGTTTCGGATTAATAAAGCATTCTTAATGTATGTAATACTGCCTGTATTTATTTGAAATACATAACAACCATGTTTGAACTGCATAATAATCAGGGTTGGTTTATGTATTTCAAATAAATTAGCTTTATTATACAAATTATCATGTACATTTTATTTACAGGTTTGTGTTAAAGTGTTATTTAAAAAATTGTAACTGGGAATTTGTTATGTAATAAAATTACATACATTTGAGAATAATGTATTTACTGAGAAAATTAATGCATTTTAACCATTTCTGTTTTATCACTTTTCTGTGATGAAAACGGAATCCTACACTGCTTCCGCTAGCTAACTTTTCTCTTTGGATTTAAACATAAATCTAGTCTTTTGGCTTTTTATTTTTTCCCTTCATGTTAACCGTATTACTGGTGACCTGTCCAGGGTTTACCCCGCCTCTCGCCCGTAGACAGCTGGAGATGGGCACCAGCACCCCTCGCGACCCCGCTTGGGATTCAGCATGTAAAAAAATGGATGGATGGTTAATCATATGTTATATAGTGCATAATCTAAAGAAAGAAATAACTTTAAAAAAAAAGATCAACATAGTCATATTTTGCCGGGCTGCTCTGAGCATGTCCAATGATGACGTCAGACAAGCTGTTTAATGGAGAAAATGTAAGAAGCAGCAAATTGTCTCAGGAAAGTCATAAAACATGTTTTAAAGATTTGCATTAGCATTCTTTGGTGATTTAAGGATTCAATATGTACTTTCAGTACCATAATTCAATTATTTATGGTGACCTGCATGAATGTCTACTTGTCCATGTGCAGATAAGCTGATATACGGATCGTGCTTCCGGTAGGGATAGGATAGTGACAGGAAGAATGTTTTACTGCTAAAGAAGCAGGAAGTGTCGGAGTGGATTGAGGTCTTCTGGAATGCAGTTTTTTTTTTTTTTTTTATCTTTAGTGACATCAGCCACAGCTGGGAGAACCAGGCCTCTTAGAATACTCCCTTTATGTTGCCGGTGTTGGGAGACAGGACTGTAAAATGCGTCACTCTGGGATAATGCACGAAGCGATTACAAAGCTGGAGAGCTTCTTCATTACCAGAAATCATTGGTGCACAAAGAAGCGTTATAACAGAACCCTCCTCTCAGCAGCTGTTAGATTATATAACCATCACCGAAAAACTCAATAAGCTGCTTACGTTCCTGTTCATGTTTTGTCTTATTTTGGTCATTTTATTTTTCAGTTCAGTGAATCTGCAAGCTTCAATTAGCCTTTCAATGTGTGAGTTACAGAAAATCTACCAAGTCAAATCTGTGCACCATCTTTTTGTGATGTAAAATTAACCAAACTCCAACCAAAACCATCCCACACTGTAATAGAATAGTTCAAATAAATAATTTCAAAATGAATGACATTCACATCCATGACCAGTGTGTAAATCTTCTGAGCAGATTTGTGTTTGCGTTGTTTTATCTAGGACACACCAGATATTTAAACACAAGGAAAAGCTGCTTGAAAATGTGTTTTTAGAGATTTGTTTCAAAGTTCTCTATTTACAACATGGTGAAGTCGTTTGAAGTGCTTGAAGAATAATGCCTCTAAACTGTCCCTTTTAGATTCTGTCCAGAAAATACCAAAGTGGAACTTCTGGAAGTTCCTTGTGAATCAAGAAGGAAAAGTGATCCGGTTCTGGAGAACGGACGAATCCATGGAGAGCGTCCGGAAAGAGGTCACAGCGCTAGTGCGAGAAATCATCATACGGAAACGTGGAGAGCTATGATGGCTAATGCTTAGTAGAAATGGGACATTTTGCCACTTTATGTCAAATGGGGCTGTGCTGTTAAAGCCAGAAATGACTGGAGTGGTTCAGTCATCTTTCTGTTGCTCCAGAAACATCCATGGCTGTGTGTAGGTCGGCCATTATACTGGACACTAACCACTGAACCTTAAGGTTATTTAGACCCTTAAACTGTTGGCTTTTTTAAAATGAAATAAAAAAAAATTATTTCTATTGTGCTCCTTACATTTTTTTTCTCATATTTACAGTCCTGTTTTTAAGATGAAACCTACAGTTGACCACTTAGTGCCTGATTTGAGCCTCATAAATTGTTTTACATTTTGTAATAATAAAACAATTTACATTAACTTCAGAATTTCTATTTATTTATTTCTGATATATAAAAAAAAAAGTATTCATTTACCTTCCACACGTATGATTTGGAGGCATGGAAAACTTATGATATCCATACAAGTTAATTGTTTTAAATAACAGAAAGAAAAATCTCAGTTCTAGGATTTCACGTAGTGAGATAAATAAAACCTTTTTTCATACTAATATTTATCTCTGATCTCGTGCTGTACAAAAAGACAATATAATCTAAGCTGTCAACAAATATAAATAAAAATCGAACAATAACATACATTATTATGTATACAATTACACCTTTCAGGTTGAATACATAATGTATGTTTTTTTTAATAATTGTTAAGTAGTGGAGTGCAGCAGAGCTTATGACTATTTTAGTTTTGGAAGTCCATCACAGATTCTCTTTAGTTTGCAGAGTATTTCACCATGAAATAGACAACCAATAGCCAGGTTAGGCTGTCTGCAGAACTAGACTGAATCATCAACCCTTGCCTAAGCTGCTTTACAAGTAATGTGCTATAATAAAATTTTTGGTTTTATTTTGAGAAACTTCATCTTGGAAAATTATTTGTCACAATTTGTCTCCACTGTTCCTTAATCTGATTTTTTTCTCACCGTTGAATGACTTAAGGTTTTTGAGGAACTCCAGTAAAACTCCTCATGTCAATGTTTGCCTTTCTAAGGTCATTGCTATTTTCTTTCCAACTTGACATTGTCTCCACAAAGGCTATCTAACAACCCCTTTCCTGCAGTATTTATAGTTGGGATTGTTCACTGATCACAATTCCTTTTGATCAAAAGGAATGTTAGTTTTTCTTCTCATAGCTTTATAATTTGAGGTCTTATATTAATTAATAAGGACAGTGTGTGTTTTGTACACATGAGTTTAAATTTAAATAATTGATTCTGCATGTTAGTTGTATTATCTCTTGACGCTGAAACGGCAACATAATTGGTGTACTTTCATGCTGATATTCATCAGAAATTATTTCTATATTGACTGGGCATAGCTCAATCAGAAAAACACAGAGCCTGGCTGCTGTGGATATGCCGGACAGTTGGAGGGCAGCAGCAGGTAAGCTGGCACCTGAAGCCACAACCAGCTAACGAGACACTGCCTACAAACCATCCGAATGCACTGGAGGTCATCTTTGTGTGAGGTCCCCCAACATTTTTCCAAATGAGGGTAAATTTAACTGTTATGGGAGCAGAGCAGTGTGAGCTGACAGTGGACTCGTCAGCTAACAAAACACTGCCAACACACCAGTCGTAGCTAAAAGGTCTGCAACAACCACATCCTGGGGCAGGTTTTTCTTTCTAATTTCAGCAAAATTGACAATTCAGGGGGATTTCCATTTAGTTTTGCACATATTTCCTTTTTTTTTAATCCTACCTTAAGGGGGAGAGGTCTTCTTTTTCCCATTAAACATCCAAGCATCCTCCTAATAAACACAATAAATGAAAAATTCATCAGATAATTCATGAAATTGATGAGTAAAAAAAGGTCTCACAGAACTCAAAGGTCTGTAGAACCAAGGAGGGGATGTGGTTTGTTTGAAGTTTGCATTTGTTGCCTAGGAGCACCATCAACAACACATTACAGAAATAACTTAATTACTAATTACTGAACTCCACAATCTGATCTACTTACCCACTGATTTGAACGTCCATGCGCGGTTTTTTTCCCTCTCACATTCACTTTTTCCTTTTTTAGACTTAGCCTGCACAGACCCTGCTCACACCTGTCTGTGTTGACCTGCTGTCTCCTCTCCTGGACGGGCTCCTTCTCCTTTAAATACTCCCGCAGGGCGGCCAGCGGAGCGGGAAGCTCCTTCTCCTGCTTGTTATTGGAGGCCAGATCCTTTTTTCTCCCTCCAAGTAGCTTGTCTTGTCTAATGATGCCCTTCGCGTCCTTGTTTCCAGTGCAACAAATAAAGAAAAACAGCAACGCGGTAAAGCTTTAATGGAGGAGGCGGCAACATGTTGGCTCAACATCAGCAACCTGCTTTTTCACCTTTATTAATCTATTCTGGCCTTAAATTAGCCTATAGTTACACATACCAGCTAAAAGGTTTTGAAAGGGTTACCGATTTTTTTTTTCCCCGATTTTTTAAGTTACCGGTAAATTTTCCCAACAGAATGGCATTAGAACAACTAATAAAATGTTTTTAATTTGATTTTATTTTGGAAACAGTTTTCCTTTGACTTAATATTCATCCAATATCAACATCCTGAATGAGAAAATTAATGTAGCTTTTATGTTGCTTTTTTTATTGCCAAGCCTAAAAATGCAAATAAAATGGAAAAAGATTTGGGATATTTAACTTAAAAACGAACTCCTGTTTGATTAGGCGGTTATATAATATTTGCGGCTCTAAACCACTTAATGGCTGTTGCGCATTTTGTAATTGCCATGTTATTATGTAATTAAGTCAAAATTGCTGAAGAAAAGACATTAACATTATAGAATATCGTTTAACTGGACGTTTGATGTCATTATGAATAACTATTTAGATTTACTTTATATTCATTTCAGTTCTAATTAATCTTCCCGTTAGGTATGGCTATATATCCAATTCTAATTATTTAGCTGTTTGGGGTTGTTCAATCGGCAGGGCAGACTTCCCCTCCATCCCAGGTTTGTGGAAAAAATCGAAATCTAGAAAGAAAAAAGTATTTTTTTCTTAAAATAATAGATTTTTTTCTTGGATTAAGGAGGTAAAAGAGACATTTTGCCAATGGAAAAAGACATTTTACACTTAAAATAAAACCCAGTTGCATTGTCAAGTGCATATTAATTCTCTTATTTTATGAGTAAAAATACTCATTCCATTGGCAAACTATCCCATTTACCTACTCAAAACAAGGATAAATGCACTAAATCTAAGATGTTTTTTTTCCAGTGTAGAAAGATTTTGTGTGTCTGGCTTATTTTTGTGCCTCCGAACTGAGCGCGCAGTAACCAGTCTCGGCGCGCATTTTTCCGCCTGTGTGCTTCACTCTTGGCTGCGCGCTTCACACCGTTTGTTTCGAGCTGCTGTTGTGGCGCTAAGTGGGCTGAACGGTCTCTCTCCACCTGCTGCCTCCATATGCGCCTTTAAAACTCAGCTGTGGCCTGGAAATGCGCAACGGGTGCTGCTGGAGCTGGAGGTCCAAGTAATAGTCACACCCCTCTGCTTTATAATGCAGACGCCTTAAATTTTTATTAAAGACAAAGCTTTTTTAAACAACCTGCAGTTCAATCTGAAAGACTCACACAAAGAGAAAACACAATTAGGAGAAATTTATTGATACAACTACTTTGTCTTTGGCACTCAGACTTCTGCAGGAAACATATCGCTTACTTTTGATAGATATGCATGAACAGGAGCAAAGAATAGGGCTGAAACTAGTGGTGGAGTGGAG